AAAATTGTTTACTAGATTTATTGAAAGTGAAATCACGATTTTCTGTGATTTTATGATGGAGCTCAAAGAGCAATGATATCATAAAGATACATTGTATGTTTACATATGTATCTTATAGATTTGAGATTATGTATTAGAGCCAAGAAATTAATATCAAAATATTTTGTCAAAGATCGAAAATATTAAATACTACACTATGATTGATAAGGAAAATGTATTTGACAATTTTGCTACTATATTTCTGTAACAATATTGGAATAGTTATTGTATAATGCGTAGAATCCTTCAATATTAAAATAAGTATCGTATAAAAATACAAGTTCAGCATAGTAACTCTCAAAATCGTACAGTTAAAATTCCAACACTCTATAATTTTAAAATCCGTAAATCCCACATTCCCTAATATCCAAATTCTTCAAATGTTCCATGCAGCAAGTGGTAGAGTTCTCTCTCCCTACATCGCCATTTTTTCCCTAAAATCGCCTACCGTATTCCGTCGCATTGAGGTAACACAAAAATTATTAATATATGAAATCTTAGGAATTTTATTATATTCCGTGCTAATTTCTTCTACGAATCATAAATTCTGTGTTATACAATTTTCTATGTTTTCAAAGCATAAAGTCTGATTTTCGAACTGTTACTGTTTCACTTTCATATCGATACATTTCTGTTTAATCTTCACACAACATTTCTTCATTACATCATTTTCATTTACGAATTGAAGCTTTCTGGTTCGACGAAATAACACCTGTGATATCCTGTCCATAAATATAATATGTAATTCCAAAGCAAAATGTTTCGATAAGTTGTACAAACGAATGGACGCGAATCGAGTGAAAAACAGTGTTCAATTTTACATGAATTACAGGATATTTCGAAAACGTTTAATGTTTGACTTACACTGTTTTCCATTACCGGATGAGAAACGATTCGACGATGGGAATTGATTGCAACGGATTCATACAATTTTGATGAAACCCTATGCCACAGAGGATTCCGGTTAAATTGTTTTGACAATGAATCTACCTTTATTGATATTTAATAAAGCAACGGACACATTTTCCTAGTGATGCCAAGGAGAGAAATCGATACTGCTGTTTCGGGCCGTTCTATTTTTGAAGATCGTCACCGGGGAACCGAGACTGATTAACACTTTAAAAAAGCTTGCGGTCTGTATCAACAAAAATTACACTGTAATATTTCACACCTTTTAATTGTGTTAAATAGATGATATCCACAAAAGTTCGAATTCGGTAACAAAATTTTCTTCAACTCATTATTAAACTTTTTTTTTAGTCGACACTAGCAAAACCCAGCAGACGTTGCCCTGTCTGTCCATATTTATTGACCTCCGTACACATAAAAATGGATTATCTGTATGTAACCTAAAATCTATAATTCGTTATAGAAAGATATCGAGAAATGAAAGATAGCTTGTAAGGATGAGATTTCATTGTTTGTGTTAGTATAAGTTGATGATATTCATTTTTTGATTAAGAATTCGCTCTGTAGTTGAACTAACTTAAAGTCTATTTTTTGTAGGATTATCGAGAACCACCTCAGGTACATACCCACCAAATTATGTCTGTCTATGATTATTATGTACCGAATTATTTCATTTTTATTGGTTTGCTACGCCTCTTTTTACCCCGCCCATTTTTTATATACATAAAAACCTTATCCATGGAAAAATACATGTGTGCCAACTTTCAGCGTGATTGGTTAAACGGTGTCGAAGTCTATTTATTTCATACAAACTTCCATTTTTATATATGTATAATTTCAAGTCAAGGGGTCAAAAATGAGGGATATTGAGGATATCTGGGAACCGAATTGAGTATTGTTTTTGGGGATGTTTGGAATTACTGACGGAAAATACTCCATACAGTCCTTGTTTATTTTATATTGTTTTAGTTAAGACAGGCAAATATTCGATTACCAGAAATGTGCAAAATACTTCGACAAATAATTTCACAATTTCATACTAATATCAAATACTTTCACAATCTTAAATGATGTTAAATAATCTTAAATGAAAAAAACTTAATAACAAAAGCGTGTAATGAACGTTGCACCAGATCGATTGAAGGTTAAAAATTGATATACACAAATAGAATAACGTTGGTTAGAAAGAAACTAAAACATAACGTATTGATTCCGTACTTGTAACCGAACATCTAACTATATGCTCTGTTTTAAAAAAGTTTGAAATAACATTATATTATAGTTGTTTCTATTTTTCTCGTATAATGTAACGATGTTCCTTGCACGGCAGCCGAACCTTGCAATGTGCTGCGTGTGACAGATGCAGTTGACGCGAAATGTCCCATATAATATCGATTGCCACGGTATAGAAGTATACGTGAACAAAACGAAACCATAAATTTGCTTTCCAACTGATATTCACGTGTCACCCGAAAGAAAGTTGCGTTAACCCTTTCATGTTTCGTTGTTCCATTATTCTCGGCCATTACCGACGCAAGGTTTCCGAAACTAAAACTGTTTTACTGAAATTCTTTGATGGATTTCAGGAAATATTTTGAGTAATACAACTCATATTTTATAGGGTAGATCAAGGTAGATGTATTTTCAGTTTTAAGTTATTGTAATTTTTGTTCAAGTTAAATACATAATCTGTGGATCCTTCTTTTTATGTATTATAACTAAAAATTTCAAAATATGAAATAAATTAGTGAGTATGAAATACATTGCAAAATGTTTGGTCAAATCAAAATGTGTTTACCTCAACATGGAGTAAGTTGATGCTTGTGAGGCATACATGTAAAATATTTTACTTTAACATTTTAATAATTATTTCGAACTTTTGTATCTTTAGTAAAGTCATATTTAATTTCTGAAGAACACAAAATACGTTCCTGCGACTTACATTTTAAATTATCCCTTGAAGTTTATTATTTTTGATGCTTTTAATAGGCCATTTTAGTTTTTCAATTCTATGCCATATTCTATACATTAAAATGTTAGGTTATGATCTCAAAAAAATCAACAATTAATGAAATATTCTTAAGATGAAAGTGAAATTATTACATGTATCTTATAATTTTTTGTCAAGAATGTTTACAAGATTTATGTGAGAGCACATATGCAGTTCCATTACGAAAATATTTACAAATTTTGTTATATGCAACTGTATTTATTTGTGCAACTGCAGATCGACGTTTCGCAAAATTCTAAATAAAAAAGCATTTAGATCAATGGTTTTTTCTAACACCAGTAATGTCAAACATTATCAATATATCAATAATATTTGAGGTAGTGATAGTTATTGGATCACCCTGTAATTCGATAATTAACACGTTGCTGCCACGTGACTCGCCGACGGATCACGCAATGTCGGTTCCACGCCATAATGCTGTGTCATACACTTCCTGGATGTCACATTATGTCTTTTATCATACTCTAATCGTCGCATCAATCAAATGTAAACTATTTCGAAATTTTTTGAAATATTTCTAAAACTGAAATTGTGCTGAAATTATATCTTAGCGGTGTCAAAATTCAGATACAAGACTGTAGAGCTTTAGCAGGTGAATCATGTATTGGAGAATTGGAAAAAACTGCTAATTAATTATAGTGAAATGGTTTCGAAACACAATTTTATAGGTGGTCAATTTTTAAATTTGTAAATTGCAATTAATGTTAATTTGTAAGTTTTAAGTTATAGTGCATGGAATCCTGTACTAGAGGATTGCAAGAATGAGTTTTTAATTAATTATAGCAAAAAGGTTGAAATTAAAGCACTTGTCAGTTTATAAGTGGTCGATTTTCAAATTTGTAAATAGCAATTAATGTAGCAATGTATATTATACGTAATAGTGCACTAAAAATATGGTAATACTTGTAAACAAATTATAACTAATATCTAATAGCTAATAATAATATCTAATGTTACTGTTACCTTACTGGTTACTATTGACTGTTACTATTACTTTATTACTTACTTCACTACTTGTAGCTAATAACTGAATACATTTTATTTTTTTTATTAATTTATTGATAATTTTTATGAATCTGATCTATTTATTCATGAAATGAATTTACGAGATTATACCATTGAAGGTATTTCAATTACTGTTACCTTTAAATGGTTTTTGACAGACGAAGTATGCTGGACCCTATAATCGTCCGACGTTAGTAGCTCTTCAACCCTAAAATGGACAGTATCCCCAGCTACATTTGACAAGCAAACGAATGTGATTAGCAAATCTCATAGGTCACGCGTAGCCCCTTCTCAAACAGAATTAATCCAACACCGTAGTTCACTGACCATAGTTTTCACGTTAACTTGCGTAATAATTACCTTAATCTTTCATTCAAACATATAATACAAACCTAAAGATCTTGTTGCAATTTGATCATTATTAAAATGCCATCACTAAGTGTATTATAACAATCACATATAATTATTAATTATTAAGTTTATTGCTCTCATTTTCTGAATTTCATAAACAAAATAAGATACGATCCAAAATTTCTGTTAGCAAATGGTCTCCACATAGCTCAAAATCTAAGAAAAGTGAATGCAAGTACACATATATCTGTCTGAACCCTATTTTCAGAACATCGATCTCGCTACGTTGATTCTCCATGTTTGATTATTTCGAAACGAGTTGTACTCGAAATTTTTTACAAACTCCATCCCCAAAACAAAATAAGAAATACATATACGTTGACCGCAGTTTTAAGTGTACTACATAAAACCGTTTCCATGACCTATCAAACCACATTCTTCTTTTAGAATCTGTCACTAACTTAATTTAACTATGTCACCTACACGTATCTTTTTCTGGATCATCCTTTAATTCCAGCCGGACCAACTTCCGTGACATTCAATGATATCAACGACGTAACGAGATATTCTTGAAGCGATTTAAACTCGTTTTGAAAAGACGTTTCTTTGAGAATTTCGTTGTATCAGCTTGACGTATGATCTTTGATCCTTCAATCAGTGTCACGAGTCGCTTTTAACGTTGCAGGGTGACTTATTCGGGGGCTTGAACAGCGGTCTACAAGACGGCTTACTTTCGAGGGCGGAGGCTTTAGCTGCGGATTTAGGAAAACACAACGCAGGCACCCCAATGCCTTTGAAGCACGACCCTGTTTCCGTTTATCACCATGGAGCCCACATGCCAGCCCCGCATCCAAATAACCGGCCACATCATCAGGTACATTCACACCTCTTTGTGAGTCTACATTTTTACCATACTAATCTTGTATAAATGTTTCTAGCAAGTTTTTATGAGTCAAGAGATGGACCACCTTAACCAGTTTAACAAATGTTTGGTAATTTATTTTTACGTGATTAAAATAGTTTTGAAATTTGGTTATTAAGGCAAGATGTTTGTGAGAGAGTTTGAACATTTTTTAGATAGTTTAACAGATTTATTCTTACTAGATTAAAATACTTCTCTTGATCAAAATTTGTTTATGAAGGCAAGACATTTGTGAGAAAGTTTAAACGTTCTTTAGACAGTTTAACAAATGTTTGGAAATTTATTCTTACGGGATAAAAATATTTCTTTTGATCAAAATTTGTTTATGAAGACAAAAAATTTGTGAGAAAGTTTGAACGTTCTTTATACAGTGCTGTCCGAAGTAATTATAGAGAATAAGCTGACTAATTTAATTATGCAGAATGATTTGATTCTGATCTTGAAATCTTTTGAAGCCTTCAAATATTTGACATTAGACTACTTCATCAAAGTCATAATTTTGAACAATTTTTTCCTGTACATGTAGTAGAACATGGTCTCTTTGGATATTCGTCAGAAAATACTTTAAAATTGTATTACGGACAGTATTTTTTGTTTAGTAGAGTGTTATATAGATATGTCTTGTTTATGTATCTTGAAATTATCAACTGTGGTAGTATATTCATTATGAAAGTAAACATTTCTTGTATACCATGAATAACACAGGGTTTATATATGTATGTGTACATTTCTGATTTAGATTGCACTAATCATGCAATGCAATGACAATTGCATTTACACGATAAGAGGACGAGATTGTATAGTGTTTTGTTACAATAAATATAAAAATTACGCAGTTAAGATAAATTTTGTGGTTAACATATTTTTGTAAATATTTTGAAGATAGTATGACTGCTATATGTGTAGGATAGAATTGTTCAGAATTATGATCCTGCTAATATATTTTAAGGTTACTCAAGAGGTGGTTTCCTAATTTTGTATCTGGATATGTGATCACTATTCAGAACCGTGGTTAGCAGATTTCAATTATTTGTTATTATTATTGTACTTTGTTTTAGTTATACTATTCTTTTATAATTATTTTTATTAAGAAATTACTGAAAGAACATGACTGTAAAATTGCAATACTTCAAATTGCATAATACTTCATCAATAAAGTATTATGATTAGGTATTGTTGAAATAAAATATTTTAAAAGCAATTACTTAAACTTCATATAAAATGGAGTCATGTACTTTTCCTATATTATTGTTGAAATAAAGGTAAGTAGGTATAAAGTAAATTATACAAAAGTTGTTACATTTCTCATTATTTATTAATTTTTTATAAAAAATAATATTTTTATATATTATATTCGTTGCTTCTTCAACTTCATTCCTATTTTTCGTTGCTAACTCAGTTTTACCTATTTTATCTTTTAATTTTCTTCTTGCTTCCGTCTTCTACATTTATTTCTTTTATTCTTTTACAATAATCAGTAATACTTTTTTAATATCTTTATTTATTCTCATTTTATTCTTTTTATTTATTAAATGCCTTTGTCGCTGTCTAATTTAAGATGTACGTACACATTACGTCACTGACACTAAAAGCTTTCACTTTTTCTATTAAATATTACTTGCTCAACTTAAAAATAATAGGAGAGTTAATATAATTGTCATGTTTCATATTTCGATGCCATGAATTTCAATAATTTGATTAAAGCATTATTTTAATGATATAATAAAAATCTGAAAAAAATATAAATTTTTATACTCAAATGTTTGTAATAGTAATGTAATATTTTCAATATTTTTCTATATTTTCTGATTTGAGTCTGTTTCGAGTTTCACAAATTGGTGTTATTAACTTTGCGGTCATATAAGTCGACACATTTGTTGTCATGTATCGCTGTATAAATATTTGTCATCCATTTTTCTTGTAATAGAAATACAATAAAAAAATGTTTAGATTCACATATTTTTTACTTCCAGTTTTTTGCACATTCATTTGTTTTTATTTACAAAGTGTTCTTAGTATGTATATAATTAGATATGACAGTGGCATATGATTTTATTATATTTCAATCCTAAATTATTGCTTTATACAAATAATATTCATACAGTAAAACTCCCTAGGGAAAACTCCCTAGAATGTATAAAACAGGCTAATTTTTGGTTCACAAATTTTTAAATTTACACATTTCATACTTTTTTAATTTATAAACCTTTAGAGTTCTGAGAACTTTAGAAACTACAATTTGGAATTTTTAAGAAATTCGTAAATTTAACGATGTGAAAAGGAGAAAATTTGATACTTTATAAATTTGAAAATTTGGGACTTTGGGGATTTAAAATTTTGAGAACTTGATGATGTGCTAATGTTGAAGTTTAATAAGTTTAAAAATTCCAGTAATAAGAATATAAGATTTCAAATAATTGATGTAATTAGAATTTTGAGAATTTAAAAATTTGATTACTTGATATTTAAAAACTTTTAAATTTGAAAAATTTGAGAATTTTTAAATTCAATAAATTTAGAAAGTTTGAGAATTTTTAGAACTGTAAACATATGTAAAGTTTGAAGTTTGTGTTCGAAAATTTGGAACTTGAAAATTTAATAACACTGCAAATTCTGAGAAGTTTAAGAACACTGAAGTTTAAAAATTTAGAAGACTACAAAGCTTTAACAATGTTTAAAAAAATTTTAATTAGAAGAAAGTGTTTTTATTACAATTCCCAAAAGTTCAATATTTCTATAACTGGTCAAGGTAGTCCATCTCTTTATTAAAATTTTAACAAATAGATTTGATCACAAGAGAGATTCGCACAAATACAATATCTGATTACTTGCAATTTTATGAATACTTATACATCCATATTTTTAAGATAAATAACTTCTTTACCTACATGTACCCTGCGATATTTTCATAATATGTATATGAACATAATTATACATATTGATTTTGTTTTTTTAAATGTACTACTGATGTCACTTTCAATTATATTGACGTTTAAGTATTCTGTCAAGGACGATATTTTAAATATATTTGCATACAAAGTTTAACATTTAAAACAGGATACCTAAATATCTTGCTTACTTTTGAGCTTAGAAAGAAATGCATTGTATTAAACTTACTTGAAATTTTGTTTATTTCTAAAGTTGTTGTCTAATCTTAATTTCTAAAGTTACGCAATCTTTGCTTATTTTGCGTTTTCCATTTGCATACATATAAAGTATTTTAATACGAATATAATGACCTCTTATAAGGGTCATTCAAGTACAAAAAAATGACCTAACAGTACTCCTCAAGAACTGCTCAATTGTTGGCACACCGTCTTCTAATTACTCACAACAATCACCCAGAATAGAAGTAAAATATATTTTAAGAACAATACAATCGGAGGTAACAGTAATCTGCATATTAACTCTTTTTTACATTGTGAACTTTTTACGTATTTATGTTATTAACTGTGCTTATTATTTTACTATGTACATTATTTTGATAATTTGATTTAATACTTAGCATAATTTTGTTTAGTACTTGTTCACGCTTGAATACTCGATAGTGGCACTTTCGATAGAAAGAAAGGACGATAACGTTTGAAAAGAGTGGACTGTATTATTATTTACTCTTGTGCGTGAATTATTCAAGGACAACAAAAAACTCTGTGTCCGACTGTTGGAATACCACTAGCTGTGGCTGCTAAAAATCCTCTGTTCGCCAAAAAATCTAAATTCGAAGAAGTAAACTCCTCGGAAACGTCCCTCCCAGGCCCTAATAATTCGAACGTAAAGGTGGGGTTGAAAATTCTCCTGATTTTTTGCCATGTGGCAAGTAACGGTAAAATGTGCATAGTTTGGTATTTTCAAGGCATGCCACATGGTTTATAACACATGGTTTATTTCGGCTCAACTACACAGTATGTCGGAAAAGTAACGGGACTTTTTAAATTTAAGGAAAACTACTAGTGCCTTCTATTAAAACAATATGCTATCTGAAAACAGTATTCTGCCCCAAGAAACCAAACAATCATTATTGGAATCGAGCAACGAATTGTAAACTTATAGCTTTTAATGCGACAGGACCTTTCGTCACCGTGTCACAAAATCACAGGCAAACACAACAAATCGCTCGCGTTGAATATTGTGAGGATCTTATCAAAACAGCCAAACAAAACTGTACATTCCTGGAATCAATTGTAATTGGTGATGAGACTTGGTGCTTCAAGTATGACCCTCGGACAAAGCGCCAAAGTGCTACGTGGAAATCTCTAGGTTCTCCAAAATAAAAAAAATTGCGATTCCAGAAGTCTCGAGAGAACACAATGTTAATTTGCTTTTACGATTCTAAAGGAATTATACTTCGGGAATTCGTTCCACAGGGACAAAATGTTAATGGCGAATAATATCTGGGTGTTATGGAACATTTGTGAAAGAGGATTGTTCGTGTGAGGCCTGAATATCGAGCGCCGGGAAGTTGGTTTCTGTTGCATGATAACGCACCGTGTCACAAAACTGTCGTTGTTCGTGAATTTTTGGCGAAAAAACAAGTCTGTGTGCTCCAACATCCTCTAAATTCGCCTGACTCATCTCCACGCGATTACTTTCTTTTTCCAAACATGAAATTAGCTATAAAAGGAACGTTTTATGTCACTGTTTCACAAGTTGAAGCAGCTATGACAAGGGCGATTGAAGCGATTCCGCAAAACGACATAAAAAATGTTAACGTTGCTTGAGCATGCCCAGCGGAAGGGATGTATTTCTTCTCTTCTTATTTATGAACTCCTCTCTTTTTATTTAAAAAGTTCCGTTATTTTTTCGACATACTGTGTATGTGATTGTATACATTATTGTACGCCCGTATGTGTTTCCATACACGTTCGAATGAATTACGATGCCGGATAAGTGGCCTCGGAGGCACAACAATTTTATTAAAACTTAATGTTGCTACCAACAATGGGATTTATCGATGAAACAATTATCGCAAC